CCATTCATTATAGAAAGTATTATAATATGTTACTTAAACCAAGTATTTTGATTGTCAATATACTATACGTAGTACTTTCTATGAATTCTACCTACAACAGATTGAATATAATTATATAAAGTAATTTTAACAAAATTTGATAAGATAACTTAATGTTCCCTCCATTCTTTATTAATGTGTTGAATAATCATGTGAGCGGTTGATCTGAGATATACATGTGCAATATTGATTGGTTAAAAATATGCCATGCAATCATTTACTTAATTTTTCTCAAAATCTTAAGGTATCGATTTAAAGTGCAAAGCCAAAATTACCCAATAAATTTCATTGACAATGAAATTTTGGTCCCGGAAATTAAGCTGGGAATTAAGTGAATCAGTGATGCTCTCAAACTGAAAGAAACTCGTGTCAAAGTGTAAGACTTGTGGAAAGTTCATTTGCGATGTATATGAGTATGTACCAAGAATGAACTTTTGACCCATTTTATACCATATCTTGAGAAATAATTATGTTATTAATTAGTATAATTTACTAATTATATCAAAAATATTTGTTTAAGTAATAGTAATAGCTAATATATTTGATGGCCTATAAAAGATCGATGTATGATACAATGGTTTTGGATAAAGAAATTTAAACGGCTTGTCTAAGGTTACAAAAGAATGTTCATAACTTGTAATATATGCAAGATTTTATATAATGTGGAGTATTTATTTATTTTTTAGATAGAGATAGAGGATCGTCTGATTTTATAACATTTAACCACAACTCTCTAAAACTTCATTACTCATTATGAATTCTACACAATTCATTTTTTTTTTTTAAAAAAAAATTTTAAATCAAACTTTTTATATACGTAAATGTCAAATGTAGTATCAATGTACTACCTCCATTCAGATTTTGTACTCCGTATGTTTTAGTCTCTTACTTTAGATACGCAATTTAAGAAATTGTTGAAATACATGAGTGGGTCATGGTCCAGGAGTTTGGGCCCCGAAACGTGCGGCGCGCTCTAGTCTTTTGGCGGCAAAAACGCTAACCTTTTGCGGAAGTGGGGCTTGTGAGCACAAAGCAACACAAGCGGGCAATTAAATCACATAAGCACTCCGTCGACAAGTAAAAGGGAAAATGTAAAACAATAGCTTTGTGTAAGAAAAAGGTGAATAAATTAAGAGAAAGAATATGAAACAGTGTAATTATTGTGGGGTTAAAAGGGTAAAATGGTAAAAGGGATACAACCATAAAGGTATAAACAGAGTGAAACAAGGTGAGTAAAACATAAAAGAACGACCTAAAATAGAAAATGAATAAAACAAAAAAAAGGAGAGTACATAACTAATTTGTCTACTTCCTCCGTTAATGGTTAATTGCAACAAAGGAATATTTTATATCTCACAAATAATACCCCTTTGTTGTAATTAATCATTAACGGAGGAAGTATTAACTATCTAGCATTGTCTATCATGGCAAAGGACAATATATTTCGTTCATTATCACATGTACATTATTCAAACTTTCTAAAATAAGGAATTGCTCATAAAACCAGTTCTATTGCCACTCAACTCTAGACTATGAAGTTTTAAGCAACTTTTGCAATATTGCCGCAAAAGCATCTAATCCCCAAAAAAGACAATTAATTATTGAGCATACATTAAAAGTTATTTAAGCTTTCATAAAGATTTGTCTAAGAATTAGAGGTGTAGCCTAATTAACTTGTCAATGCACAAAATAAAGAAAATGCACTCATCTTAATAATTGGCACTAGTCAATTTAACCTATGATTAATATAAACAATCTTCACACAATGTGATCAACCAAAATACATTGCACTTAAAAATCAACTAAAATACAAAATTACAAATGCATTTTTATTTTTTCAGTAATTCAATCAATTCAATTTGGCGTAATATCGAAATAAGATTAGAAAATTTTGGGCATCTATACCATTTTTAGACTTTGTTTTGTTCTTTTACGTATACGTTGGAAATGTGTAGCTTTAATGATTAAAGTTGATATGCATTAACCAAGCTAAATTTTGGATCATGTCTATTTATTTATTTTGGGGTTAACTAAAGAAACAGTGATTAAAAACAGTGGGTAATGATATATGTAGCCCTTAAGGCTATATATAAGCATTAAATATATATCTAAAATGGAAATAAGTAGGGAATTCATGACAAAATCATGCGCAAATCGGTGTAATTAATGTTAATTTATCCTCAATATTTCCTCTTTAAGCTTCTTATACATAGCCCTTAGGGCTAGGGGTGTACAAAAATTGGCCCGGACCTGAAACCGGACCTGAACCGACCTGAACCGGACCGGACCTGACCCGGACCTGTTGATTCAGGTCCGGTCCCGGTTCTTAAAAATCCAGGTTCCCGGTCCCGGTCCGGACCCGGTCCAAACCCGGGGTTTTCAGGTCCGGACCTGAAACCCGGGAAAATCGTAATTAAAAAAAAAAAAAAAAAAAAAAAAAAAAAAAAAAAGAAGAAAACCAAACTCTGAAAAATTGAAACTGAGTTTTCGTGGACTTATTTGTATTTTCGGTGGACTCATTTGTATTTTTGGTGTTTGAGAATCGGGACTTTATAGACTTTATGTAGTTTTGTAATTGATAATTTTGGTTTGTATGTAATTATTAAATTATGCAACAGGTCTAAAAATCACAAAACAGGTCCATATGCAGGTCCATATGCAGGTCCAACAGGTTTTGTATTAAAAAAAAAAAAACGAAAAAGACACAAAACAGGTCCATTCAGGTCCAAACCCGGACCGGACCTGATTTTTCAGGTCTGGCCCGGAACCGGACCTGTTAATTCAGGTCCGGTCCCCGATCCTCATAATTACCCAATTCAGGTCCCCGGTCCAAACAGGTCCGGTCCAGGTCCGGTCCGGTTTTGGACCGGTGTACACCCCTACTTAGGGCTATGTTTATCATTTTCCAAAGTTGTAATGTACTTTGTATATGCTCTCTCAATATTTTCCAAGTAAAATATTTTGACTTTTTTTTTTTTTTTTTGCATTATTAACCTAATTCACTTTGAGTAATGTTAGTGATTCAATAAAGTCATATATGTACTTTTTGAAATCATTTAATTTTCATTTGGATAATTTTGTCTATTTGATAATTAAAGATATTATAATATTAAAAAAAAAATTGACAATTGTACATGAAAAACATCTCAATAATATATATATATATATATATATATATATATATATATATGCCTTCCGCTTCATTTTCTATTACTCCCTTAGTTTTTAAATACTTGTTCCATTTCTCAATGCGTGGAGTTTAGGAGAAATTAGAGAAAGTACTCCGTAATAAAATATAAAGATAGAGGGGTTAGTGGTAGGGGGTGTTCATAAATCGATCCGGACCGAAAAAATGGACTGGACCACCCCGGACCGAACCCGGACCAGACCAGACCGAATTAATCGGTCCAGTCTTCGGGTCTTAAAATTCATTTTTCCGGTCCGGTCCAAAACTCTATAAAAACCGATTTTAGACCGGACCGATTTTTTTATTAAAAATATGTGTGAAACCTTAAATAATGGTTAAATTATCCTTATTAAGCTTAGTAAACTTTAACTTTATAAGTTTTTTTGCACTAAACATACAAAAAAAGACGTAAAATGACATTACAATATAGTTTTTCCAATACTTTTTTTTTGTGTTTTCCTTAACTTTATTAAAAATTTAGTATTCTTTTTAAAAAAAATTCTTAAATCGATCCAAGGCGGTCCGGTCCGGGTTTTGGACCGATTCTTTCGGTCCGGTCCGGGTTCGGTCCTAACTTAATCGGTCCGGTCTTCGGTTCTTAAAATTCTAATTTTCGGTCTTCGGTCCGGTCCGGTCTTGGACCGATGAACAACCCTAGTTAGTGGAATGTAAATTAGAGAAGAGAATCTAAAAGTAATACAGTAAAATTTGGTCCCACTACTTGAGAGAAATGAATTAAATATTATAAAAGCTTTCCAAATAAGGAAATTGAGCAAGTATTTAAAAACAGCCACAAAAGAAAAGTAAAGCAAGTATTTAAAAACGGGAGAGTAGTGCGGAGTATAATTTTAAATATTGCTCTATGACTATATATATATATATATATATATATTCTTTTTTAAACCCATGAGCCATGACTATGTATATATAACTCCCAAACATAATAACAACTTTTGGGCCTCCCACAGTCCAATTGTGTCATCTTCGATTCTTCGACAAGTCAATCTATTAATATCCAATGAATTTCTCATTAGACCCAAAGGTCATTTGTTGGTCCAACTAATACTTTACTAGGTCCATCTTCCTTGACTACCCCAAGGGTATAATTAGTTAATTACCCCTCCAAATAGCACTTCAATGGTATCTCCTATTAGCGTTTATTTGCACTTGCTCTCTTAAGCCAATAATACTCTTCTCTCAATCGTAGTATACCCAAGTTAACATAGGCATCGGAGGGGTTTTCCCATACACACCCCCGAGGCCCTGGCACGGCTTACGTGCTTATTTGTATAAGTGTTCAGCCCACTAAACACTAGTGAGCCTCATCCGAGGTGATTGTATATAGAGGTGTCAATTCGGATGATCAGATCAAGTCTGATGAGGTCGGGTCGGGTTGATTTTTAAAGTTAATCGTACTAAATTATTATGTCCACGCCAATCAAAATCTGAATCGAATACTTTTCGAATCGGTATTGAATCGAATACTTTTCGAATCGGTATTGGATCGAGTCGGATGGGCTTTGGACACCTCTAATTGTATTTACACAAAAATGCAATTATTAGTTTGTTACCACACTTACCAGGCATGAGAATTTGACAGTGAAGGCAAGAAACAGAATATAAAGGGAGGACCTCGTTTGCTTTCTCAAGGAGCTTTGTTAAACTAAATAAAAGAGGGCGCTTCAATGGTTACTTTACTAGACAATGATCAAGAACATTATTCAACAAGTTATAAAAAACAGCAACTAGAGAGATAAATCCAGTAAGCAAGGAATGTCAACTGTCAAGACTCGAGTATTATAGCCGCAGCAGAAACCAGCAGATGTTCAGTTCTTGTCAAAGTAGCTAATGTGAAGGAATCATAATACAAGGTTCAAATACAAAAGCAGGCGTACAGAAGTAAGATTGCTTTGGCAAAAAATCAAAATCAAGGGAAACACTTAATTTACTAAACACTAAAACAGATTCAACTTTTAAACTGATCCTTAGATTCACATTATGTGGAAGAAGATTTCATAAAATGGCACAATGTATATGAGTTAAAGCCAACAGCACTGCATTGGCTCCTGGGTACCGGAAAAGTGCTCCATGGAATCTTCAGTCCCCAAAACATGATACTTATGTGTCTCAAGCGAGTAGAAAAGTATACCATTCCCTTTGAGCCTTGAAAGATAGATCCTATTTTGCATCCCAGCCTTTGTAATTTCTACTGAAAACGAAAAAGTATGACTCAAGAAAAAGCTATGGTTTCCCAGGCTTTTAACTTCAAGCCATTTAACCTGGAGAAGGTTGAACTTGAACACTTTAACCCAAGGTCCCCAATCATCACGAATACACACAAAGTGTGGTTCTCCATCACTCTCAACCAAATAGGCCCTCGTACGTTTCAAATTCCCAATAATGTACGGCCTATTGTAAACTCTCCAACTTCCTTTACCATCTATCAATATATATGCTCCAAGATTTCCAACTGCGTCGAGAATGTAGAATGTTCCTGCTATATAAATTGGGCTGCTTGATCCAAAGAAAAAGTTAAGGCGGCGGCGAAACATAAAACTATCCCATGATTCATCCCCATATTTAATGCAATAGATTTTGACTGCACAAGGTATGCTATTATCAATTGCAACCGTGACACAATCAGGAGAAGTAGGGTATGTAGAGAATCCGATGCGTGTAAAGCGATGTATATCAACATCAGAAGGAAAATCCCCACTAACTCTTGAGAAGGGATTATAGTATTTCAATTGTGTTTTAGAATCAACAGATATAACTAACCACCCATCCTTGAAAAATTCAATAGCAAAAGGGTCAGAAGAAAGTTGCAAAATGCTGGAACATGAATAATCAAGTGATGGGTCTATTATTTCACAAGATCTGCCATCATTCTTCAAGACGACAAACAACGGAAGCATGTTATTGGTTCTGTGTTGGGGTTGAGATACTGCATCATGAAATGTCTTACAGCTAACTCGAAAATTCCAGAGATCGAACAAATGCATATACTTTGAAATCAGATATATAAGATGGAGTGGAAGCTCAGAGAGTTGTGGTCTTTTTCCTCGTCTTTTGTTCTCTTCTCTGTGGCACTCATCGTAGCTTGTACTATAACTAATCATCTCACAGTCAAGACCATCTACATTTTCCTTAATCTGAGTCAATTCTTTGCCTTTCATATCCTGAACGCCTAATAAACTATGAAAGCCCAAAACAGAGAAAGATACAACAAACATAAATTAGTTTACCATATCATATGATCAAAATCATATTCCAAAGTATGCATGCTCCACAATTAGAAAAATTAAGACCCCATAAAATCAGTTTCTTATAATGTGTATAAACATACAGCTTATTAAAGTCAGGTGAAGAGATAATGTCGTAGAAGTAACAGTGCAATTAAAATACTAACCTGTGATATTGCGGCATCAAATTCAGCCAAATAGGAGCATAATGTCTTGATAGCTCTGAGCGGAACAATTTCATACTCAAAGCACCCTCATTTAGGCTGTAACAATAATATATAGTATTATCAAAATACTCTCTTTTTGGAACAGGAAAGTATATGCAATCCCCTCGGACACATCCACTGCCATCACCTGAGTTACTTCCCCAGCACCAGGTGCTACAATCTTGGCCTAAGAAAAAGGCGCGGCCATCCAAAGACTTCACCTCCACCCACTTATTTCCCACCAAATCCAACTCATAAATCTTCACCATCCTGATACGACAATCCATACACCGGCGGACAAGATACCAGATATAGTATACATGACCACAAGATTCAACCCAATAGTCCACAAGTTTATCAGAACTAACTAAGCCATTTTGTGGCAGCGGATCCATTTGCAAGGACTTTATAGTGAATGAGTCAGTAGCGTCATTGGCAACCTCAATACTTAACAAAATGGATGAACGATCAGGTCCATCAATATCCTCTCTATAATATTTATGAGCCCATGCATATACGACTTTGTTCACTGTAATAACATTGTGTATTGTTAATTTCTTGCCAAAAAGCTCGAGTCCATGATTGATCCAATTAGAACTTATATCACTACTACTCTTTGAGCTAAGTCGATAAGAAAAGACTTTGTCATCAAAAAACAATAAAACTACAGAGACATTGTTACCAACACTATTTTTTTCAAGATCTTCATCACCTAATGTAATCAATGTGTAAGCTCTATATTTTTCAAGATCTCCATAAATTTCAAGAGCCTCATCATCTGTGTAAGCTGAATTTGGCAACGGAGGGAGTGCTATAAGTTCCAATGTGAGCGGATTCCATAAATAATATAAGAATTTGTCTACAAAATCGCCTAAGATTAACCAGCCATGACAAGAGGCACAAATAAATTTACCGCGCAGTTGAGGGATACTCTTGATATACGAGTAATCACTGACATCATTACCCTCATCAATAGTGCAGAATGTTTGAGTTGGTTTAGACTCATCATCATCATCATCCCCACATACATTCCGGAGCGTATACACAAGATAGGGTGATCTCTCTGCAGGTGGAAGGCACCAATAATCCTCCACCTTCGTCTTTTCCATTGATCAAGATAACATGCAATCAAAGCTGCTCAAATTACCATACAAAAATAATTCACTAAAATGTTGGTCCTTGCAAAAAAAGAAAAAAAAAAACTTGCACAATATATAATTGAACAAATTAGCACAGCCAAAATCAACTCTTCCCAACTTATAATAATAATCAACAAAGTAAGGGCTTGTTCCGATTGACTGAGCTGAGCTGAGCTAAACCCAACCCAACCCTACCCTGAACTGAACTTATTAATTAGTGATTTTTAACTACGGATTAGTGATCTTTGATTATTTATTGATTATTTATTACTATACATATGTGTATATACAAATGTACATATTAAAATATTTACGAAAAATATATTATATAATTATAAAATGTATGGAAAATATATTAAAAACTTGAAACCTCTAAACATTTTAAACACTTATACTATTTAATTTAAAAATAAAATAGTATTATGACAAAACAACACAAAACACTTACATGTATCTAACCCATTTAAACAAATTTTTTAAAAAAAATATTATTAATTATTTATTGTTATTATTATTATTATTATTAATTATTGATGATTATTATTATTAGTAGTAGTAGTATTATTATTATTATTATTTATTGATGATTATTATTCTTATTTATTGATTATTATTATTATTATTATTTATTGATGATTATTATTATTATTATTATTATTATTATTATTATTATTATTATTATTTATTGATTATTATTATTATTATAATTATTATTATTTATTGATTATTATTATTATTATTATTTATTACTTATTGATTATTATTATTATTATTATTATTATTATTATTATTATTATTATTATTATTGTTATTATTATTATTACTATTATTATTATTATTATTATTATTATTATTATTATTATTGTTGTGGTGGTGGTCGTCGTTGTAATAAGAGCTTAAAAGAATGAAACTTGGCTTTATATCATTAGCAATATCATTAGACATAAATTAAGAGCTGAACTGAACTGAATTGAATTTCAACGGAAGATAACATACCCTTATTATGAATTTTAATCTATGTTACTCAGACTCTTCATTATCTTCAAGTACCACCTTGAACCAAAATCACGCAAGAAATTATAGAATGGCTATTTAGCTGTGTGTGACTTGAAAACAGACCCTTGACACAACATAGTTTGTCTTTATAATTTGAGTTTACGAGTATATGATTGCAGTCATTTTTAACACTTAACCACACGGACCCCAAAAACCCAATTCTAAAATCTTATGATTTTTTCTACTTCTCTATTTCTTTTAATAACTTCCACATCTCCTATTGTTTTTCTTTCTAAATATACATGGGTTAGCACGGATACACTCTAGTAAATATAATTATAAAAGGTTGATAAACACTAGTCAAAATGGTATATACAAATTGGGGTACTTAAAAAACACACAGAGGAATAATAATTAAAATGGCTCGAATTACAGTATAACTATCATCAAGATTTGGTATTTCCATTAATAAATCAGGATCAATTTCAAATTGCCGGCAACAACAAGAACAAAATCAAGGTTTCATCATTAATTACGAAAAAAGAAGTAGAGAGAATCTTATTCAAAAAAAAGAAGTAGAGAGAATCAATTATAACTGGTAATTCAAAAAATTAGCATGGAAATGAAAAATAAAGTAACAATTACAAAAAGAGGGACTTACTGATATTGTGAAGTTTGCAAATAGTGTCGGAAAAGTCTTTTTCCGGCGGAACAAGAGGGTGCTAGCTCGGTGTTAAAATTTGGAAATGTGGACTTACTAGTTTGGTTTAGGACATTTTTCAGATTTTATAATTTTGTAAACAAACAACTAAAATCCCAAAGAGGTAGGACATTTTCCGATAGCACTACCCCGAATTTCCAATGGTTTATTTAATGAGCTTCCCCCAGTTTTGTTTTTTTTTTTTTTTTGAGGGAAGCTTCCCCCATTTCATAAGCCTTATGATGGCATTTTCGAAATATTGAAACATCTTTCATTATTTTATTATTTTCCCTCTTTTTAGCTGACATGGCACTTAACCGGGAATATTTTGGCTGTTAGAGCGTGGGTAACAGTACTCCGATTCCCATCCCGTTTTGTGTTCTCCTTCAGAAGCTATGCCTCACCATTCGTCTGGAGAACACGATCTCATCAAGTTGTGCTCTCTAGGGCCTGTTCTGATTGATCAGCTGAACTGAACTGAACTTAACTTATTAATTAGTGATTTTTAACAACGGATTAGTAATCTTTGATTATTTATTGATTATTTATTACTATACATATGTGTATATACAAATGTACATATTAAAATATTTACGAAAAATATACTATATAATTATAAAATTTATGGAAAATATATTAAAAACTTGAAACCTCTAAACATTTTAAACACATATACTATTTAATTTAAAAATAAAATAGTATTATGAAAAAAGAACGCAAAACACTTACATGTATCTAACCCATTTAAACAAATTTTTTTTTTTAAAAAAAAAAAAGAAAAAAACACGAAAAGCTAACAGCGGCAACGGCCCAACAGTCCAACACCCTAACCCACTCTCTTTAATGTTTTAATTAATACATGTATCTAACTAGTATCTAACCCCAAATTATTATTATTATTATTATTATTATTATTATTATTATTATTATTATTATTATTATTATTATTATTATTATTATTATTTATTGATTATTATTATTATTATTATTATTATTATTATTATTATTATTATTATTTATTACTTATTGATTATTATTATTATTGTTGTTGTTGTCGTCGTTGTAATAAGAGCTTAAAAGAATGAAATTTGGCTTTATATCATTAGCAATATCGTTAAACATAAATTAAGAGCTGAAATGAACTGAGCTGAACTGAATTGAATTTCAACGGAAGAGAACAAGCCCTACTTCTGCACTCCATTTTTTTCAAGGTTTGAATATTGCGAGATTCTGAATTGATGCCCCTTAGCGTAATCTGACATTCGTACCAGCTGAATTGGTAAGTATTCCTTAGTTTTTCGAAAACCCTAGTTTTTGGAAAGTCGTTAATTGGTGTTAATTTCTGAAATTGGTATATCTCGTCTGTTGCAATTGGTAAATATATGCATGTGAAGTGGTGAATTGAAGTTGTTTTTTTTTATGAATTTTATTAAAACTAAAGTGAAGGCAATTGCTTTATACACATAATAGGGGTTTTAATTGCTGAAACTAATTGGAAGAAAGTGAAGAAAGAGGTAATTAGCAATTTGATTAGGAATTATTATCGACATGCTAAGTAATTGTGTTGAATTTTGATCGCATTATATTTGTAAATATTAATATTCTATTTGGCTAATTTGAATTGGAATTTTGATACCAAATATTGCGTCTGCTATGGCGTGTTGTTGATTATTCCCCGCTGCTCAGGTTCAAAGTTACATAAATCATGTTGTTTGTTTCTGTAGTGGCATTCACACTGTACGTTGGTAACTATTACTATGTGCCCTTTGATGAATAACCATTACTATGTGTCCTTTGATGAATGCTAAATTGCATGAGTTTGGTATTATATCAACTGTGTGTTGTTTTTAGTCATTCTGCTATAGAAGTATGCAATCTGAAGTGAAATTGACTCAGTTTGGGTATGAAATTATAGTGTTTTGCTAATTGATGTCCTTTGATGAATGCTAAATTGCATGAGTTTGGTATTATGTCAACTGTGCGTTGTTTTGAGTCATTTTGCTATAGAAGTATGCAATTTGAATTGAATTTGACTCAGTTTAGGTATGAAATTACAGTGTCTTGTTAATTGATGTCAATCTGAAATTATAGTTTTTATAATGCAGTATGGTTATGGAATCAGATTGTGACCCTGGAAAAATAGGAGAGCCTGTTTGGAGTTCCGTTATTGATGTTGAGGAGGGACAATTATTAACTTCTGGTGTTGGTACTGATGTTCCCTCTCTTAACCTTGTGCCATTGAATGTTCCAAACTCTGCTGACAGATTAGCTGCCATGTCTCCAATTAAAACGATTGAAACAGTGGAGACAATTGTCTCAACAAACATGGTGACCATGTAAAGTTATGTGGAATCACCTAGGTTAGGGATGGTTTTCAAATCCTTTGAAGATGTGGAAACTTACTACAAAGAGTATGCCGAGAAGAAAGGTTTTGGAGTATCAAGAGTTTCATCCAATTTTTCTAAGAAGGATAAGGAGCAGAGAGGGGCGACATGGAGGTGTGAGTGTTATGGTCCACTTGATATGAGGGCAAGGAGGGAGGCGAAGAAAAGGTCCAAGTCTATGGATGCTTGTGGCACAGGTGGAATAGTGAATGGTGAAGTTGGGGAAGATATGTTGCAGTGGGCGAAAAGGACCTCCAAGAAATGTGAGTGTGGTGTCATGTTATACGCTGGGGTTGACAGTGATGGGTTGTGGATTATTAGGAAATTGCAAAATGAACATGATAACCATGCCCCTATACCTAGTGATGCTAAGTTGGTAAAGGAGTATCAAATGAAAAATTACACATCGAATGTAAGGAAGAAACTGTTCAATTTCTACGATGAAGGTGTCCCCATAAGGCAAATACATGGGTGTATGGGTACTGAGACCGGGATCGACAACCTCCCTAGTGTTAAGGACCTTGAACATGAAGTGCAAAAGGAAAAGGTAAAGAGGCTAAAAATGGAAGGTGGTGATGCGGCTGCTATGATGGCGTACTTTGACCGGATGCAAGAGGATAATCAGAATTTCTATCAAGCACACCGTTTAGATGAAGAGGGTCGTTGAAGGACGTATTGTGGGTTGATGCGCAGTAGAGTGGCTAATGAAGATTTTGGTGACGTGGTTTGTTTTGATGCCACATATCTCATTAATGAGTATGAGCTCCCTTTTGCAAATTTTGTAGGGGTTAATCACCACGGGCAATCTATATTGTTAGGTTGCGCACTCGTTTCACATGAGGATTCAGACACATTTGGTTGGGTATTTAGGCAATGGCTGTCATGCATGGGCAATAAACAACCCCGGGCTATTCTCACTGATCAAGTCGCTGCTATGCGCAAGCCTTAGGAACAAGTGATGCCCAATGCTCGGCATCGTTGGTGCATTTGGCACACACTGAAGAAAATACCAGATAAGCTTGGAAAATGTGAAGGGTAAGTAGTATAATGTGTATGTTTAGTAAGTTTCGGCACACATATTTGTGAAATTTAATATAAGTGCAAGCTAAATTTCAATTCTATTCTTGTATTTAAAAAGTCTGACATTGTCATGTTGTTTATGAATATGCATTTGTTTTCTGATGTTATGCTCACATATATCAGTTGACAATTATTCTGTTCATGTGCAGAAATTTTGTACTTATTTTATCTGGTTATGAATGAACTGTCATGTGCATGTGTCATGATTGTAACTAGTTAATCTACATATTACAAATCTGAAAGTATTCTCATTATACGCATAAGTTCATGTGTTTACATGCAATTCTACTATGCTTTGCTTTGCCTTTGTCATAAATGAATGTCATTTTGTCTGACTTTTGTAGTCCATTGTGACCTTTGACAGTTCTCTTAAGAGTCACGTACCTTTGAAGTATTATGTCATGATTTTCAATGTTTCAGGTACCATGATTTTAAGAGTCCTCTTAAGATTCTTATTTATGAGAGCTTCACAGTTGGGGAGTTTGAGCGAAGATGGACTAAGTTATTGTCGGAGTATAACCTACATGACAATGACTGGTTATTTGAATTGTATGAGGAACGACATATGTGGGTCCCAGCCTTTATGAAAGAGCATTTCTGGCCGGGATGAAGACTACGCAAAGAGTGGAAAGCATCAATAGTTTCTTTGATGGCTTTGTAAACAGGAAAACAAAGCTATATGAATTCCCGGATAAGTACAAAAGAGTAATGGAGAGGCGTGTGAAAGCGGAAAAAGAAGCAGATGCTAGGTGCCGCAAATATCGTAGGCGTCTCGTTAGTGGATTCTACATTGAGGAATTCTTCTAGAAAATTTACACTAACACTAAGTTTTAGGAGATTTAGACAGAGTGTACTCGACTAATGCATTGCTCTGGGAGGGACGAGCGTGTATTGGATGGGAACTTGATTCAATTCCTCCTTGAAGATAGGGTCTGGATTATTCTAGAAGGGAAAAGTGAAGAAGTGATTACTGATCAGAGGTTTTACTGTGTTCTTTTTAACACCGTTACGAAGGACGTGTCTTGTGATTGCCGGAAGTTTGAAACGTTTGGTATTCTATGCAAGCATGTAATTAGAGTGTATGATCAAAACTTGGTTTTTGATATTCCATCAAAGTATGTTCTTCAAAGGTGGCGCAAAGATGTGCCTCGGAAGCATACTCGGGTAAAGGTTGCCTATCATGACCCAACTGATAATGCCACATATCAAAGTCACAACAAATTGATGCAGGAGTTTGATCCCATATGTGAAATTACATCATCTGTTCCAGCTAACAAGGAAACATTTGATCTTGTTGTCAATTCTTTGAAAAGGCTCCATTTGGAAGTACAACAAAGCAGGGAGAAGTACCTTGAAAATCAACCGTCTCTTCCAACCCCCCCCCCCCCCCCCAAGAACAATATTGCCCCCATCAGAGATTGGATCAAACAATCCCATGTCATGCCCAACTCCAAACTCTGTATCCAAGCCACTAGTGTTGAAGGATCCTGTGTCTCGGAAGAAACCTCGAGGACGACCCAAGGGTAGGCCCAAATCCCTGGCAGACTGGGTATAAGAAGAAGGCTGCTAAACCAAAAGGAGACAACAACATTAACACTGTTGCTGGTTTTGATTTGCCTACTAAGCTACATGTGAGTTGAGTAGAGGATGAAATATATGAATTATATCAAAAACATGCTTTTGCTATTGGATTTGGGGTAAGACAATCAACAACTAGATACACACAAGGAGAACCCAGAATCATCAAAGGGAAAGACTTTGTTTGTTCAAAGGAAGGATTCAGATTTAAACCAAAAGTGAGAAAAACTCCACCTCCACCTGACCAAAAACAGAAGGGAGTGAAGCAAGTGCCTATCACTAGAACTGGCTGCAAAGCATTCATTAGAGCCAAAAAAAATAGTGATGGTGTGTTTGAAATTGAAGAGCATATGATGAAACACAACCATGAACTAACAAGACCAGAATGGCAGCATTTACATAGATCAGAGAGAAAAATAACAAAAGAAAAAGCACAAGTAATAGACATGATGGCAAAAAGTGGATTAAAGCCAGCAGAATCTTATCGTCTAATGTCTCATGAAGCTGGTGGTGAAAACGTGTTAGCACACACAATGAAAGATCACTTCAACTATATAACAAGGAAGAAAATGAAAGAAATTGAAGGAGGTGATGCACAGACAGTAATAGACAGGTTTTACCAAAGACAAGAAAATGAACCTGGTTTCTTTTACAGATTCAAAGTAGGCGGTGGAGATAATTCAAGCAATCTTACAGCAATTTTTTGGAGGGACTCACAAATGAGAGAAGACTATAGCATCTATGGAGATGTAGTTGTTTTTTATACAACTTATAGAACAAACAAATATAACTTGATTTGTGCTCCAATAGTTGGTATCAACAATCATTGGTTGAATGTGATGTTTGGATGTGCATTTATTGCTGATGAAACAGCTGATACATTTGAGTGGTTGTTGGAAACTTTTAAGAAATCTATGGGTGGAACACAGCCTATTTCTATATTTACAGACCAAGACTTGGCAATGTCAATAGCAATTCAAAGGGTAAATACTAATGTTTCTATTATATTACTCTAAAATACCTATGTTTATATTATATGACAAAACCTAACAAGTTAATATATGCAGGTATTACCTGAATCAAGACACAGGCTTTGCATTTGGCACTTGATTAAGAATGCAGTGTCAAGGTTTGGAGCCCTAAAAAGAGACACAACTTTCAAAGATGCATTCAACAAGTGTTTATCAAGAGTTTGAAACTTGCTGGGAAAATATGATTAAAACATACAAGCTTGAGAAAAATAGTTGGTTCAAAAGACTCTACAACCTAAGGAAGAAATGGTGCACAGCTTTAAGCAAAGACTTCTTTTCAGCTGGTATACTCTCTTCTCAAAGAAGTGAGAGTACCAATAATGCTGTAGGTTTTAAAGCCACAAAAAACACAAACTTCACAGATTTTTTCAAGATATTCAACCAGACAATAAAAAGATGGAGGAAAAATGAATCTGATGCAGATTTCAAGTGCTCAAACTCTCACCCTTATTCACATTTACCATTCTATGGAATACTAAAGCATGCAGCAGAAGTTTATACACAAACAATTTTCAGAGACTTTGAAACAGAATTTACATACTCAATTGGCTGCATAACACTTCTTCATTTGGAAGTTCAAGGTTACTTCTTTTATGAAGTGCAGATAGAGAATAATGAAGCATCAAAACAGAAAGTTACATACAACTCAGCAGACAACAGTGTAGCATGTTCTTGCAAAAATTTTGAGGAAGTGGGGTGGTTATGCTATCATGCTATACGTGTACTACAGCAACATTCAGTGACCAGAATACCAAATCAGTATATCTCAACAAGGTGGACAAAGTTTGCAAAAACACATTTATGGAAACAAAGAGATGAAACAGCAGAAGCAAATGCAAGGGTACCAGTAAAATACATTCCTTGGAGACAAATTATGGCAAGAAAAGGATACAATCTGATATTAACATGCCAGGAATACTCAGAGACAAGGAAGTTGGTAGAGGAAGCGTTTAAAAAAAATGAAACACAAGCTGATGAAATAAAAAGAAAATTGGAAAGGGTAAAAATATGTTTCTCCCCTAATTATACATGTCAAGAACACTCAGAGACTAATTTATATTTTTTTTTTTTTTTGGCAGGAACACGAAGGCACAGAAGAAGGAGAAGTACAACAACAAAACAAAAATTCATCAACAGGAGAAAAAAGAAAGGAAATAGAAAATCAAATTCCTACAGTAGCAAACACAAAGGGAAGAAGCAAGAGAATAAAAGGGCATTTCGAGAAAGGAAGGAACACAAAAAAAAACAAAAGCAATGCAAGCTAAAGGAGACACAAGAGAATTTGGAACAACCACACCGATTCAAAGTCCAAAATTATTTTAATAAAATAATATGTAGTTTTACTTTAATATATAAGTATGTAATGACATTTTTGCTTTAAGTAACCTTATTATGCTAAGTAATTAAACTCTAATATTATGCTAAGATCTCTTTTATAATATTTATTGTATACAGGTAACTTTTATTATACACACTAGTAACACCAATTAATACAAACAAGTAACCCTTATTATCCTATAACAGTAATCCCTCATATAAGTAACACAAATAAATAACAAGTAACCCCTATTATTCTATACAAGTAACACCTATATATACCATCAAGAAACCCAATAAATAAAATGAAGTAACCCTTATTATTCTATACAAGTAACACCTATATATACCATCAAGTAACCCAGTAAATAAAAAGAAATAACCCTTATATAAGTAACACAAATAAATAACAAGTAACCCCTACTATTCTATACAAGTAACACCTATGTATACCATCAAGTAACCCAATAAATAAAATGAAGTAACCCTTATTATTCTATACAAGTAACACCTATATATACCATCAAGTAACCCAATAAATAAAAAGAAGTAACCCTTATATAATATACAAGTAACACTTATTATCCTATGCAAGTAACCCCTTTATAATATACAAGTAACACGTATTATCTTATGCAAGTAACCCCTTTATAATATAAAAGTATCACTTATTATCCTATGCAAGTAACCCCTTTATAATATACAAGTAACCCTTATTATCCTATGCAAGTAACCCCTTTATACTATACAAGTTACCACTCTAACAATAAATAGGTAACCCTTATTACATATCCAAAAAAAACACCTAATATACTACAGAAGTAACCACTTCTATACTATTATGTCATCAAAAAAGTACATACTTAAAAAAAATAGCAATAAAGCAAAGTACACTAACAAATATTCACACATATCAATTAACACAATTTGAACAAAATAAAGAAACATTATATATTCAGTTCAAAAGAATACCTTTAAAGAGTGACACTTCTTACTTTTGACGAGATGAGAGCTTTGATTGACCTGCTGCTTTGACTTTAGACAACTTTGCCTTAGTTGCCTTAGTTTCTGCCATAATTGCAGCCAGTGATGCATCTTCATCTGCATTGTTTTTTTATTCTTCTGTAGACAACTTTTTTGTTCCTTGTTCTTCTTCTAGTTTCTTTTTTGCTGGTTTTTTAACCAACTTTTCCTTTTGTTTTACTTCATTTGTTTTCTGTCTTGCTTCTTTTTTGGCCAATTTCTCTTTAGCCTTTTCTTCCTTTTCAGCTTGAGCCAAGGCAAGAAGCTCTTCTTTATCAACCTCTTCATTAGTTAGGACTTCATTATAAATTTCATCATGGTTGGCTAGAAAAACTTTAACCTTCTCCAGAACATCTAGCCGTAATTGATTCAAATTACCAGGACCAATGATGCACAAATTTCAGCTCTGTAACGAAGACGATTAGCTGGCTGCAATGCCAACAAAGAAAAAAATATAAACAATATACCCCAAATAAGAAATACACAAAATTGTAATAATTATATCAAAATAACCATGCAATACCTTTGTCAAATTTTTACAATGAAATTCTTCGCCTTCGTATACAGAACAATGAAATAAACAGAAAACCCCACAATCATTGTTCTTTGAACACTGCTGAGAATAAATTGGGATCATTCTAATAGGGAAATCGTTGACAAGTTCCCCTTGATCATGATTCTTTAAAACCAGATACTTTTAAAAGTAGCGTCTCTGAAATAAACAACAAAAAAGGACAGTTAATCAACAAAGTATAAATAAACAAAATAAAATGCTTAATTAATAAACTTACCAAATACCAAACAAGAGTATAATAACAAGTATGATGTTCATCAAAAGTCCTAGTAATATTCCTTCCAACACCCAAGAAATATCTTCTATTGTCGAGATAATCAACAGAGCTGTTGATGAAGTTTATCACAACAACATAATAATGATTGAAATAATAGATGGGAATAAAAAGCTGCATAAAAAAAACATTAAATTAATTACTAATGATATGCAAACAAGTAATAATAAGTGATCCCCTATATATAAGATCAATTAACACCAATAAATTATAGGAAGTAACCCCTGTATATACCAACAAGTAACCCCTGTACCAACAAATAAGCCCAATAAATAAGAAGTAGTTCTAATAAATATCAAGTAACACCTTATATACCATCAAGTAACCCCAATAAATAATAGAAGTAACCTCTATACATACCAACAATTAAGTCACTTTTATAAAAAAAAAAAAATCCATATAAATAATAAGAAGTAACCCTAATACTTAACAAGAAGTAATACTATGAAGTAATCCTATATACATAATATCAAGTAACCCTAAGTAAGAAAGCACAGGAAACAACATCAAGTAACTCTTATACATAATATCAAGTAATGCAAATATGCTATTTAGTAACTTGTTGTCATAAAATTAAATGACATACCAGCTTTGCATCAAAAAATGCAATAGTTTTAACAACATCAAGCCATTGATCCCATGCTCCGAAACTTTCTTTTTCAAAGAAGCATCCTTCTCCATTGAATATACAGCGCAAAAGAGGTAACTGAACAAATAGAAATAAGTTAAAATGATATATATATAATATTTAATAATATAACAAAATTCAACAAAGCATAACATTGAAATTACCATATGTTCACCACCAAAATATAACTTGGCAACAGTAGCTGCTTTTTGGCACTGAACATAATTCAGCAACACAAAAAAACAGTCCATAACCCGACTTGAAATAAGCTCCTCCTCTATCAATGTCATAATTCTTCACGCGACAAATTATAAAATTCAGAAAAAAAAACACCAAAACTTCCCTGTTTCACATAATTTAAAATAATTATTTAATAAAAAAATTCAAAAAAATATATATATATATATTCAATTATAGAGAAATCCCTAAAACTTACATCATATCAAAACCTTCATAGTTGTCACCAAAGCAATAATCAGCAACCTGAAGCCTTAAACTCTTCATTCTCTTAGCTTTTGGATTATAAACTCTCAAAAACCTTGATATTAACTGTAAAGAATAATCTCCAACAGCACCACAATCAATATCACATATTAAATGATCTTCAGAACTAGTACTACATTTATTATCTGTAGAAGACTCCTCACCATCACTTAAACAATCAGAATGCAGAACTTTCAACTTTGAAAAACACAGAAGCATTTCCTTTGTTCCTTTCTTTGCTGTTTTCTCTACGTCTTGCTTCTTAGAAGAAACCATCCCTACTGGTTTCTGAGAAGCAGACTTCCCAAATACATCAGCAACAGCAACACTCTCTGGTTGCTTCTCTGAACAACCTTCAGCATTAGGCTCACCAAGTTTCAATAAATAATTCACAACTAAATTGGGATCAGCACCCAAACTCATATCAATATCTGGAACTGGTTGAGCACTAATTTCAGTAAAAATGTTCTTGTTCTGACCCAGTATTGGCGGTATAGGCATCTACAGATGAGGATTAGTATAAGAAAACAGAGCAAAAGAAGGCAATTCATCTTCTAACTTTTTCATTGCAATAGCATGATTCGTAATCTTGTCAATTTGATCCCAAAACGATGAATCATTAAAAATTGCATCCAACTGACTTAAAACAGGAGACCTTTCTTTTTCTAGAAGCTTTGAATCAATTTGAACAGCTTCAGATTGTAACCTTACAGACTGAATATGTTGTTCAAATTGGTGAGAAAATAGCTTTAAATCTCTTTTGATCAGCATGTACTTCTCTTCAACATCCTAAAATCATTTAAAGTAAAAGAATTTAATCAACATATATACCGGCAATTAACCCCTATATATATCATCAATTAATCACAGTATATAATGAAGTAACACTGATACATGTCATCAAGTAACCTCAATACATACCAACAAGTAACCCATGAATGTCTCATCAATTAAACAACGTATATAAAACCAAGTAACACCTATACATGTCATCAAGTAACCCCAATATATAACAGTAAGTAACCCATAAATGTTTCATCAATTAACCCCCATATATAATGACAATTAACAACTATACATGTCTCCAAGTAATCCTATATATGACATCAAGTAACCCCTAAAACACCATCAAGTAACCATAAATATATAACAGCAAGTAACATCTATACATGTCATTAAGTAACCCCTAAATATAACAGTAAGTAACCCATAAATGTTTGATCAAGTAATCCCCATGTATAAATGCACATATATAAAATCAAGTAACCACAGTATATAAAACCAAGTAACCCCTATATATGGCATCAAGTAATAACAAACATTATATAACCAACAAGTAACCCCTATATATTGCATCAAGTAACCCCTAACACACCATCAGGTAACCCTTATACTACAAATTACAACTATATATATTCATATATATCATAAAAGAAGAAAACATAAAAAATATGCTATAATAAAAAAATGATAACAAGTATTTTATTTGTAAAAGAAAAATTGATAAATGATAATGATAAAAAAAAAAAAAAAAAAAAAAAAGAGTACTCACATTCTTTGCTAGCATATGAATTTCTTCATTTGATTCAATTCCAGCCGGCAAATTGAATGTGACAACCCGAGGAAAATCATTTACAGAATTGTCTTCAACAGCAGATTTCTTATTTTCCAAAAATTTCATCTCGTCTATCTTTTCCTCTGTCTTTTTAGCTTCAATAGCTAATACCTTTGAATTATTATTGGATATCTTCGTTACAGGATATGTAACTTTATCAAGATCTGCCATACCATAGACTTTATCTTCATCAGCCAATCGACTCCTAAAATCCTTATCACTCAAATGCTGAATCAGGGGCAAAGTAGAAGGTAAAACATTACCCCGAGATCGCAGTCTATGAAAATAGCATATTTGCAACAGCAACAAACAACCAGGAACATATTTTTGATTTGCAGAATAGCTTGACAATTTTTCAGCCAAGTCATCCAAAACATACTGGCACCAGTTGTAATCTTGAAATAGATGAACATTTTCCAAAGCCAAAACCAACTTGAAATCAGCTTTTCTATTAGACGTTGGAGCAAGCAAAGTTATCATAGAATACATTACAAAGCACTTCTTGAACTCATCATTCCCCATTCGCATTCCTTCATTACTTGTCATAACTTCAACCAATTGAGGAACAGTTACTTCATGCTTTGCACCCCCATATAAATCCTTCCAAGTGTTCTTCAACTCACTGTCTGCGTGAGCATTAGAAATAGGAACAGGTAGAGGACCAATTGGAATTTGAAAAACATAATGAACATCATTTGCAGTCAACTGAAACTTCTTTCCCGTCGGCATAACAGACATGCGACTGCTAGGAACAAAACAACCACACAACCACCTAATCATCTCCTTTGGGAACTCATTTAACTGTATCAAACTCAAGTTGCCAAAGCCAATATCTTCTATAGCTTTTAACTGTTCCTCGAAGGTCTACATCGAAGAACAACTTCATCCCTACCAAAAGACAAAATTATAATTAATTAGAAAAAAAACTAAAAGAATATAGCATAAAAATAACAAATAAAACTAAAGGGAACAAGAGATATGAATATTTACCCCTCATCAATATTCAAAACTTCAACAACTTCAGCAACAGGTTTAGAAGATCTAGGCAATCTTCCTCTTCTAATAGCTGGTTTAACATCCTCCAAATCATCATCCTCTTGAACAATCATCTTTCTCTTCTTTTTCAATGGCTTCACATCCTCCTCCTCCTCTTCAGTTTCAATAACAGAAGAAACACCACCCTTGCATAATTCAACTTCAATCAATTTTCGGTCTGGCAGAACAGAAGAAACATGTTCTTCACCATCATCAACAGCAACATTCTTGTCACCCTGCCTCCCAGCCAAACCTTTATCATTTACACTATTTTCATCATTATTTTCACCCTGTTCATCCAGAACATTTTTATATGAGGCTGCATTTTCTGCCTTTGATGCTCCAATTTCTGACTGGGATACATTTTCTACAGAAACAATTGCCCCGGAACCATCAAGTACATATGTTATTGGTTCTTTAGGAACCACTTCTTCCTTTTGTAACTGATTTGCATTACCTTTTTCAATGAAAAAAAAATATAAATATAATAGACAAACAAACTGATAAAAACAGATAATGAAACAATACAATAATCATACAATTAACTCACTCATACATTATATAGAAAAAAATTTAATTAAATAGTCACTGAAGCAACATCATGTAATAAACAAGCAACTTCTAATATAAAACAACTACATGCAACATAATGAACAATATAAAACAACTACATGATACATAGTCAACCAAATAACTACTACAATATAAAACAACTACATGCTACATAATGAAGTAAATAAATCCTATGGAATCAATCAAATAACTCTTATAATATAAAACAAGTAACTCCTACATTATCAATCAAGTAACTCCTACAATATAAAGCAAGTAACTCCTACAATATAGAGCAAGTAACACCTACATAATGAATCAAGTAACACCTACATAATGAATCTAGTAGAGTAAATCCTAAAATATAAAACAAATGACTTGTACATTATCAATAAAGTAACTCGTACATAATGAATCAAGTAACTCCTACTTAATTTATTAAGTAACACCTACAATATAAAACAAGTAAATCCAACAATATAAAACAAGTAAATCCAACAACATAAATCAAGTAACACCTACAATATACAACAAGTAACTCCTACAATATAGAGCAAGTAAGTCCTACACAATGAATCAAGTAACATATACATAATGAATCAAGTAACACCTACATAATGAATCTAGTAGAGTAAATCCTAAAATATAAAACAAGTCACTTGTACATTATCACTTAAGTAACTCGTACATAATGAATCAAGTAACTCCTACTTAATTTATTAAGTAACACCTACAATATAAAACAAGTAAATCCTTCAACATGAATCAAGTAACACCTACAATATACAGCAAGTAACTCCTACAATATAGAGCAAGTAACTTCTACATAATGAAACAAGTAACACCTACTTAATTAATAAGTAAATCCTAGAACCTAGTATAATAGATCCTACAATATAAAACAATACATTATCAATCAAGTAACTCCTGCATAATGAATAAAGTAACTCAGATTTAACTAATCGTATAAGAACTCTAAAATCAAACATAAAAATGAGAGCAATTAGACATGCAAATAAAAAATAGATATAATCGATTCATAAGAAAATCAAAATAAGACAAAATTCATCAAAATTCATCAAAATAAGACAAAATTCATGAAAATTCATCAAAGTAAGATTTAACTAATCGTATAAGAACTCTAAAATCAAACATAAAACAACATAAAAATGAGAACAATTAGACATGCAAATGAAAAATAGATATAATCGATTCATAAAAAAAGCAAAATAACACAAAAGTCATGAAAATTCATCAAAATAAGACAAAATTAAACTGAACATGAACAATAAATAAAATCGAGAACAAAATTCACCAAAATAAGAACAGAGAAATCAGAATGAAAAGCAATAACACATAAAAATGAAAAATAATACAATAAATTAAAAACAAAAACAAAACAAGACAAATAAAACATCAACAAGAAAGAAAAATATAACCGAGAACAAAGCTCATCAATATAAGAACATAAAATGAAAATCTAGGGTTTCAACAAAAACATAATTCAAGTTCAAAAAAGCAAAAAAACAGAATAATGTAGGTCTAAAGTGATTAAAAACGTTAAAAATTCACAATCTAGGGTTTAGAAACTACCAGAAGCAACAATTGAATTGGTAGAAGTCGATCCTTGAGTACGAGAACCACATTTTATCTTCAACACCACCATTTTAAGCAGAGAACAAGCGAAATTGAACGAGAATGTGAAGAAATGAAGAAATTGATAGAGAAATTTGAAGAACGGAGAGAATTAGAGGAGAAGAATTTGAGGAGAGAGAAAATGGAAGAAGAACAATTTGAGGAGAGAGAAAATCAAAACAGAGAAAATGAAAAAACTTTGGGCAAGAAGAAGGTTTTGATGTAATAAAATGAAAAAGAAAAAAAAGAAAGGCGCGTGTTTTTTTTTTTTTAAATAAATAAAATAACGGAACCGTTTAGTGTAACGGAGCCCGTTATACGGAACGGACTGGGCTAGCGAGTTGGGCTTATATTATGTTGGCCACATGGTGTGGCCAGCCACATATAAGAATTAGTGAATCCTAATTGGTTTAGGAATTGGATCAAATAATTTGGACCCTCCACATGATCATTGGGTCGTAGGTAAGGTGGGCTTAGGTTCGGTTTGGGCTAGTTTAATATTTTGGCCATAACTTATTCGTTATAACTCGGATTTGGGCTTTTAATATATCGTTGGAAAGCTCTTTTAAAGCCCCATCCAACTATTTAATCATTGGACCATATTATGGACCAAAATAAACTGGATTAAACGTTTTTATAAAAAGGATACGAAATGAATGATTTTAACGGACACGAAATGAATTATTTTGGGTTTAAAGGCGCAAAAAGAGGAAAATAAGTTATGTTTTGGGAAAATGGGATAGGAGTTGGGTTGGTTTTATGAAATGGAAATATGGATTTGAATATGGATTTAAGCACTCCAAAAATTAAATACTCAACCCGACCAATAATGGCGGTCAAAGGTTGTTCATCATCAGGTTTGGTTTTGGGGAGACATTTTTAGGTGTCTACAATAAGACATAGTAACAATATTCAGTCAAAATACAAACACAACAGTACCTTCCACATTCATATATCAACCAAAAGAGACAAATATAACATCACTCAATATTGTATCCATAACAGAGCCCTCCTATAGATACAAAACAATTGAATAGCAAACAGGGCAAAACTAAAATAGCTATATTCCATTGAATATACAAAGACTACTCATCTCTAACATTCTGTCTACTAAATTCTTTGCAAAGGGTACATATAGGTGAGGAAAGATGCTAAATTTGAATCAAATTCATTAAGCAGCATCAACTAAACAAACTAACAATATGGTTACACTCAAATAGCATCAACCAAGGTCACACTCACACCTACACCCATCACTAATAATGCAAAATTGGACTTTCCAGCATTGGTGGCGGTAGTGCCTTTCCATACAAATAATATCACTCATCAATCATCAAAGTAGAATAGTACAATTCACTAACCTAGAAAGACACAACTACTTATACCATAAAGAACCCAATATCCCTAAAACAATTGGATATAAGTACTAATAGTGTGATGAAATTAACACCACTTATTAGTATTCTGTTGCAATAAATTTAAGAAACAAATATAGGAAACTGAAGAAAACAAGAATAGAAGAAAGTCTACCTCTGACATTATAACAAATGGTATCCCTCCCATCCCTCCTGGGTAAATCTGTGGTAATCATGAAACCGAGTATATGTCGCATTGATTTTTTATTTGGGTTAGATCATTTTTGAAGTTCTAATATATTAACATCAGGTCATGTGATTTCTAAATAAGTTTAGTTTGTAGGTTGAATAATATGACAAATTCAAGTAGTTTAAGTACTCTAATAATCTATTGAATGATGTAATTATTACTAAGATATGAGCTGCTTAATGAACTATATCAAATTTCTTTTCCCTATGTCTTCGTAAGTAGACTCACAACCTTTTTCATGACCGACCTTCACCTGCATTGAGAGTTTCTACTATCTTCTTCACCTCTTCTGAAGTCCTATCCTATAACAACAGCAAAAATAGTATAAATAAAAATATCAATAATGCTGACAAAACTCAATTCTGCAGTGTTTAATTCAGCTTCCTATTCCTTCATAAAGATTATTGAGACATTAAATTAAATATCATAATTTATAGTAAGGTATATTCTAAAAATGCATCCATGAAATAGTTTATAAGAAATCATATGCCACTCAGCTCCTACTTATTTTCCCTCTAAAGAAAAATACATCAATACACGAGAATGGACTCAACGATCTACAATGGAGGCTATATTATTAAAGTAAATAAATTACAAAGTAACCAAACATAATTTTTACTCCAGATTTTACCAAATTACTTCACAAAAAAATATGTTATCTACGACACTACAAACACCAATCTTTTGGGCTACCTTAACAGATTTAATAACATTCACACAACAGTACACTAAAATTCACTTATCATAGCTCATAAATAACAATTTCCAGCCATATTATTAACATGTACAGAAATTCTCAAATCAAGGTAAAGCTAATGTTAGTTACCAATCGATAATGTATGAGTAATAGTTTCCCCAATGCTCACTAATACTCGCACCAAAATAGAGAAACTCAAATCAAATTAAACATGGATAATTAATCAAGATATCAAAAGGAAACCAGATTTAACTATGAGCATTTTGGATTAACTCCAACACCACCTATAAATAAACAAAACCCAAATCCCAAAATTTCAAATTCATCAAAATAAACAGAAAAAAAACCTGAGAAATGGATTAAACATATATGAACCAGAAAGATACCTGCTAAAGAATAAAAGAATACTAAAAACTAAAGGCATTTGAGATCGAAGAACTCACTTAATGCCGGTCTTTTGCTAGCCATTAACCCTTTCACTTCAGATCCCATTCAAGCTCCCCATTTCCCCTGTTACTCTTCACGAAACAAAGCAAAAATCATTTTTTTAAAAAAAGAAAAAATGGGATTTTCATATGAGAATAAATTTCCACAATATAAACTTAAATTGTAAGAAAAAGAAGGTTTGTTACTCTATTCCACATGAATGAAGAACCCTCCTTTTCTTATAATCATAAGAAAAATTTGTTTTGTAATTGTAAGCTTTCTATCTTCCCGTAATTATTAAAAACATGGCAAAATTATTATAGTAATTTGGGGCTTTAATAAAAAAAAACTGAAAATTTACTGAGGAGCAACAATTCTAGGATGGTAACGATGAGTGTTCTTGACTCTTCCAACAGTTGGAGCTGATATTTCAGAAGACTTCTTAAAAATATATAAATAAATAATACCCTAGCATTAGAATGCATGGGAATATAATCCCAAAATTTTTAAAAAATTGAATCGAAACCACCCCAAAATTCTGAAATAATTTTACACCCTCCATTTCTGCATAGATAGAAATTAAAACATCGTCTATAATCAAGGTACAAGAAATATAACGAAATAAAAGGAAATGAATAACCTTAAAAGAAGAAACAATGAAGCCCAACCAATCTTCAATTAATGAAACAATTAAGGAAGAAACCGAGTTAATTATTATAGCATTCATATTATAGCCTAAATGTTCATAAATTTGTAAGTCAATAAAATCTTTCTTTAAAGCTTAATAAGGATACTTATAAAAAAAATAATAAATAAAAAAAATCATACAAGCACAAGCACAACAAACAAACAAACTGCAAAAATCCATAAAAGCAAGAAGTCACTCACAGCGTTCAAGATACTTATTATGAGGTTCGGAGCTCCAAAACCATTTGAGCGCGGAGTGCTTGAGAACTTCTCTGAGATTATCTTCCCCTCGATCTTCTCCCTTTTCCCCCTTGGAAAACAAAGCAGGGCGAGCGAGTGAGAACTACAACAACTTTAGAGTTACTATAGCTCTGTTGTATCATGGCTAGTTGTATCAAGGCTAGCTACAGATTCATACTTCAACAAACAAATAGATTCAAACTTCAATGTTTCACTTATTCATAGACATATATAATTCATTAAATTCCTATTTTCTAGAACAGTACCCCAAACTTAGCAGAACAAGAGGTAATAAAATAAATTGAAGATTTTCACCCAAATGCAAACGCAGACCACTATTTATCAATACTATTGACTATAAATTAGTCATAATCACACCAAACTCATATCGTAATCAAATTTGAACACCCCCCCTCTCTACCAAATTAATAAAATTAATTAGTATGTCGCTCCAAGGGAGGCAAGCATTCATCGCCTTGCTTGCAAAGGACCAAAAATTCCTTACTACAACAATACAAATACAAACAACCCATAATCCACAAATCTATATAACCATCATCATAAACTAAAGCCTTCAAGACTCACTATATACAAGTACTTAAATTATTAGTCATACAATCTTTCCTCTTTTCTCGAATTAAAGTAATATGGGCATAAACTTCATCTGCTTTAGGCTAAGCCTAGGAATACAATCCACCAAAAATAATCAATAGGTTATCTGGCTCAACCAGCAAACAATAATGTCCAAAAAAAGATAAAAATTAAAGGCAAAAACACCTTTAGTTCAATATTCACAACATGACAAGTATCTTAGAAGGCAAATTAAAATGTAAAATTTATTGATATAATTCCGGGTTTCTAGTTGCTTCCAAACACACACAAACCCACTTTCAAAAATTACTCATAATTTCATGATTCAACACCAAAAAAAAATGCATATTATAAAAGTAAAAAATTAAAAATACAGAAAAATAAAAATGAAAAGATAGGAATAAGAAAGGTAAAAATAATATAATGGAGGATGAAAAAAGAAAAAAAATACTTGTTCCATCTCTATTTTAGCTGTGGAATATATTGCACAAAATAATTTTCTAGAAATTAAATAAATAAAATAAAATAGATCAAACATCTAATAATACCTGAGTTTCTTTACCTCAAACTCGAATCCACCAAACCTTGCTCCATCTTCCTCCTTCCAAAAATTAATATTTTAATATCTAAAACACCCATATAACGTATAATAAGTGAAATTAAGAATCAAATAAAGTCAATATCTTGAAAACTTATAAGACTAATTACCTTAAATTTGGTGGGGTTAAATCAAAGATCCAAAGTGATCTCCTCTTTCTAAAAATACTGAAGAACATAAGGAGTGACCCGAATAGCAACAACCCATGCTCCGAGCATCAATCAGTGGAATCGAAGCTGCGTCAAAGCTTCTTCCTTGCTTGGTTTCTTCTGGAACATTCCTGCGAACATCGATCTTTGCTTTAGGAAAACATGGGAATGAACCTTAGTAGCAATTTGCTAAGTAAGAGCCATTTAAAATCAAATTCAATCAAAATACTGCATGAAAGCCCAGAAAGAAACAAAACAACCTTCGTATAAAAGGTAAAATCTAATCGAAGAGATGAACATCGAATCAATTAGAATAATAAAGAGAAAGGAAACTTAGCAACCTCGTCGCTGAAACCGGAGAAATTGAAACACTGAGACGAATCAAAGCCTCATAACCATCGTCGAAGGGATGGTCGGTGGTTTATAGCTCATCCCCATCGTTGTTGAAAGAGGATATATTTTCTCTCTCTAGGTTTCTCTCTCCTTGTTTTCCCTAAAAACTTTGAGCCTTTTTTTTCTGAGTTATGAGAAGAAGAGCGCAGGGTTTCGGTGTATTCAGTCAAAGCACCCAAACATCAACCAATTAGAATAAAGGGTAATGTAGGAATTCCATTAATTTCGAGGGCTTTAGTGTAATACCACCAAAAAGTACTGTTACTAACTTCCCATATTTAATAAGAATAAGAATTTATAGATAAACACATACTATAAATCAACTAACATACTATAAATCAACTAACTTACCCTACATCGCGCCTTCAAATGTTGCACCAACACTTCACCTTTCCTCTTCACCTCCCCACCAACACTTAAAGAGTCATCCTACAATAACTAGCAACTTTGTTACGATTTACTTATTCCGACTTAAGGTTTATTGACAACAACATTTCTAAATACCTTGAATATCTCTGGATAAATCTTCTTCATGTGACCTGGTATACCCTCCTGAGAATAGGCAGGTTTATACATATAGGTTGATTACACACATGACCAATGTATAAACAGATAAATATGCTCTAACAAAATAGTCAATGAATATACCTCAGAAATATTTGCAGTTCTGCACATTTTGCAGTTACGTTTTTTTATTGTCCAATGAATCCATTCTCATTCCAAAAATTCCTAAAATCTCATATCAATGATCATTCGTACTTCATCCTGCTACTCAATATCAATTATAGTACAAAAACATTAATCTGGACTATGACATATTTCAATCCCAATTAACCCAAGTCTTACTGCCCCATAATCACCCGTGAAATCCCTTTGCACCATATGATATATCTATAAATTGCGCATTCTAAACTATGAATTGCACAAACAAATCACACACTACCAGAAAAATTGACCCGCCCTTATGAATTCAATCAGAACTTTATTTTAAACAACGATGGGTCCACGATTCTACAAGTCAATATAAAAACTATTTAACACAATATCAAACATCCGTATGAATTCGATAAAAACACTAGTCAATTGGAAAAACTATTTAACACAATATCAAATCACACTCGAAATCATCATACAGTTCAAACAAGATAATGAATCACCAGCAACAATTACACAGTCGGTATAAATTGAATTAAAACCACAGTTTTAAAATCAATCAAAAGCAAATTACACACAAATCGATTGAATTATACAACCTATGACAACAATTTATACAAGACAAACAATGAATTGCAAAACAAACACGAACGATAAACCATAAATTGCAAACACACACAATAGACATACCTGTCGAAACCCTAGCTATGCATTCCTCATTCGCGGCCAACTTCAGTGCATGGGATTATAGTCGCCGCCAATTCGACTCACCGCCACCACCTCCTCCACACTTTATCATCCGTATATAGCAAATTGGTACAGGCGAAGAGCTTTCATACAAACCCTTAGCTTTGTTGAATTCACAGTCCCATTCAGATGCATAATTGTAGACACCCATCTGTGTCTCCCCAAAACCAAACCCAAGGATGAGTACCTTTCGTGTCGAATCATAATCGAATGAAGCGAAAGTGTTGAAAGTTTAGTGTTGCGGACAGTTTTGATTTCTTTTCTCTTCTCTCTGTTTTTGAAAACTTATTTTAAGAAAATAGCCAATCCAGTTTGGTTGGTCCATTATATGGGTCCAATAGTAGTGTAGTTGGATGCGGCTTGACAAGAGCTTTCCAACGATATATTATAAGCCCAATTCCGATGAATATTGAGGAAGTTATGGCCAATTTACTAAACTGGGCCCGGTTTGAGCCTTATGTACGGCCCAATGATCTAGGGGAGGGCCTAATATTATTTATCATTCCTAATGCAATTAGGAATGGTTTTAGTCTTCTAGATTCTTCTAGAAGGTTCTTTTCATTCCTAATTCAATTAGCATTGATAAATTGACTTTTGTTGACTTTTCAGAGTTTTAATTAAAATCAAAGAGCATTTTTGAGGAAAAGATACGATTTTATCCTCCTGTACGGCAAAATTTATCAGATTTTAGAAAACGCGTCAAAAACAAGATTGGCGCTTAACGCCAGGCGCTGGCGCCAACATTGGCGCCTGGCGCTGACGTTGGCGCCTGGCGCCAATGGCCAATGGCTGGCGCCGATTTCGTTTTGCGTGCGCCAGACTCTGTTTTGTTAATTTTATCTTTTTGGCTGATTTTCTCTATAAATAATCATCTAAAACTCCGTTTTCATTCATCAACAACCAGCTTTTCAATTAGATTCACCTACAATCAGTTTTCAGTTCTCTCTCATTCTCTCTTAACTCTTTCATCTCTCTTTCTTCTCTTTCTCTTTTCTAAACCTTGTTTTTACATACAAAATTCCGCATTCGCAAGATCTAGAAACACCTAGCCATATTCAAAGTTGCTTTCGCCCTAGACGTGAAAGGTTTAATTTCTGAGGGTTTGGTCCCAAATCTCTCTTTCAATTATTTAATTTAATTGTTTGATTATTATTTTCCTTGAAGTTACTAACGTGTGTATTTTTTTATTAGAAAGAGGTAGGAGGCATCAAAGTAAGTGCTTTAATGATATTTATTGATGTTATGATGTAGAAATCATGTTTACATTGTTATTATGATATTCCTAGTATCATGTTTAGGTTAATCTTAATATTAAACATGATTGTCACGATGCTTCCTATGTTCTTCCTAATATTTATGATTGTAAGTATCATGTTAGGGTTAAAGCTTTGATTTTTATTGCTTAGTGACATGTTAGGATTTGTTATTAATCTTGTTAGTATCATGCCTAGGATCTTGCTATGTTTATTATGCTTTGATATTAACATGAACATGATTATGATGATTATAATTGGTGATGATTATGAATATTATGAACATTATTATTTTGATGATGGTTATTTTATTTATGATAATTATTTTATTATTATTAATATGATGATTATTATTTTTATGATTATTATCATGATTATTTCAATTATAATTTATTTTCATGATGATGATATTTATTATTGTTATGTTGCTTGATGCTTATTTATTGTTATTGCTTGATCACGCCTTTTATTGTATGTCTAATGGGAATTTTGGTATTTGTAATCACGCTTAATAAGATAATTAATAATCTTGTTAGGGTTAATATGATATGATTATAATTCAAGTGATCGCCAATAATAGTTTTATTTGTGCATTAAATATTCAACCAACATAGATAAACAGGTTTAGGGTTAATCTTATTGATTGCATGTTAGTCAGAAAGCGCACATGAATACGATCAGAATAAAGTAGAGGTCTATTATTAGGGCAGGTTCAATCTCTTTTAGGTTGGATTTGTACCTTCATCCCCGAACCCTTATTTGGATATAGACCTTATGGAGTTGACGATCTCTTGGATCGTGAAGGGGTGTAACCTTCACCTTGTGAACGGTTTACAAGTTCCTAAAACTTGTTGGCGACTCTTTTGCTCTATCTTCTTCCCTTTTGGACGCCACCGTACTTTAGTGTATGATCACAGTGGGGTTCAAGCTAGGGGCTAACGCTTGAATTTATTCCCTACAATAATCTTGTTGTTATTGAAGGTGGGTGCAACAGGATGGAAATTAATAACGGGATGTCAAAATTACATAAACTAACGACGCTATGTTGAAGTTAAGAGGCAGATTTCAATTGGACGACTTTACCCTTACTATTATTGCCAAAATGACGCGATTACCCTCTTATGAATGAAATTCGTTCATAAGCCTTATGAACGAGGATTTTCTCTTATTTAATTCTCCATGTGAAAAAATATTTTGGGCAAAAACTCATATGAGCTTTACTAAAATATGTTCACAGTTCACACCCTTTTCAAAAAAAAAATATATATATATATATATATATATATATATATATATATATATATTCATATTTTTTAAAAATAAAAAATCACGTGGACCCCATTCCATAAATATGAATTTTAGTAACTTTTCAATTATTTATTTATTTATTTATTAGGGGAAGCCGAGCTAATGCATTAATCAATAAATGGACAACTTGTCCGAGAGTACATAAGGGGATATCATTACAGGACAATATAATGATTCACCCATATTTGTTCAACACTAAATGGCATTAGCTTAGCAAGGTGATGAGCTACAATGTTATCATCCCTTCTAACATGAGACCAAAGAAAAGACATAAAAGCACTATTAATCGGCAGAATATCCTCCAACACTACATCAATATCTGATAAATAAACTGAGGCTTTTGTTAGACGATGTGGTAGAGTACAAAAAAAAATACAAATCAATTCATTAATAAAAAGTCATACGTCATTTACAAATGAAATCTAAATTAACAAATATACAACCTTTTCGGAGAGATGGTCTAAAAATTTGTTGTACCCATAAGTAGGGTTGTGCACCGGATCGGACCTGTTAGACCGGAACTAAATCAGGGAATTTTGAGGACTGGAGACCGAACCTGATTCAACCAGTTAAGCTCAGATTCTCAGGTCATTAGCTTAAACTCCCGCACTCCTTTTTATCACTGCCAATCTTATGTTACTGCCATAGAAATGCAATTTTATAGAATCTGTCTAAAACAACTCCCCTTCCTTGATACACTACATGTCTACATATCTCATAAAAGAAAGAATTGAAAAGAAATCTATCAACAAGCCATAGCCCAATTGTCCCTAAAAGGTTGTCAATCTTTAGAAACAAAATTTTCAAGAAACGTCTGCTTTTCCCTATTTTGTTTCTATTCACATCCATGAGAAATGCTATGGGGATTTCCCTAAACATAGAGTATTTGGTAACTTGATTCAAATATAGGGAATAACAATTGAGGGGAGGACAGAGAGTCAAAGTAGCATGGAAAGTGAATGCAATTTCAAGGAAATGGAGTATGGACATTGACAACTCTCACAGTCAACTTAATGGTGAATGTAACTAGAATCCTAAACGCTTTCAATTATGCATATGCAAAACAAAACCTCTTACCATAGAACGAACAAACCAGCCTCACTGCACTATGCCAAAGAGCAACGGGGATACATGCTAGCTTAACATAGCTATTTTGCAAATTAATTCCATATACATAAAATATATTTTAGCATCCTGATTATACAATATACCAGGATGAAAAAGATGAAGTGCAAGAGCTTATAGGTCCAACAGTCAGTAACATACTGAGCAAATTATTATCAATGTTTTTTTTTTTTATTAACAGTGGCATTAACAAGCACAATAAACTCTTATGTTCTATTCAAGCGCAAACATTAAAAGTCGTCTGCCATTCTAAGCTCTACTCTCTGCCATCACTCTTTCAATTTCCTTTCTTCTTCCTCATGTCTTGACGATTTTTCCATCGTCGGTATTGGGCGTTCAATTTTCTACGCTCCTTTTCATAGCCTCAGCCACTTCCTGATACTTTCTCGCAGCCTTTATATGGTAAGGAGCTTGTTCAGTAACAGTCATGGAAACCATTTCTTAAATGCAGCACGCCAAATTTCATCCCAAATATCTTCTGATACCAGTGCATGCTTCATCTCCTTAAACTCTCTCAGATCTTCATCTTCTTCCCTGTGAATTTGTTTCTCCTTAAACTCTCTCACAGCTTCATCTTCTTCCACAAAAATATTAGCAGCATCCGTATGCACTAGATGAATGAAAATCTCGCTTCTATAATACGCCGTTGGCGACTTCTTTTTCCCCTAGATTATCTTGTGTGTTTCAACAATCTTCCAATTTAAAGCTTGTTTGGCTCTGGTCGTCACCGCACTTTCAGCAACAGGCATTGAAGCCTTGGATCTGGATCTGGTCATCACCATACTTTCAGCAACAACTATCAGACCTTGACGATGAAGAATTCTAGGGAAAAATGGTACTCGTTGTGATCGCTTCGTAGCAGGGAACGCCGATCTACAAACCCTTTTCACAAAAATCCACCCAAAAATAACCCAATTAATTATTTAAATATAGACACATAGTAACTGGTAACTTGGTAAGTGCGGAGTATATCACTATAATGCCATTGACAAATTACACCTTATTAAAAAATTGAAATAATTATCAAACATTAGCCATTCTTGTATTCAAAAATAGGCCTAAATATTGATCATGTGGTGCGGCATCCGAACAGTAGCATCAAATCTTTTGCTACTATGTTCAAACTACCATAACTTCCTGATACTTACAAGAAAAAATCCCAACTTTGTGCTAAATACAGCAGAAATAACCCAATCCCAGATTGAAATCAGAGTCAAATTAACAAATAACTTCACAATTACTAACTACCAAATTATTTCAGAGCTTAATAGAAAATGTGATAATTTCGTCGAACAGGTAGTAGGCATTGAAAAAACAAAAACTCATAATCAAAGTAATTGAAAAATCATAAACCCACAGATTCAAAGAAACCCTAAAATCCATACAAATGCACTCAAAACATGTAAATAATCATCAACAATTCAAAAAATCAACATGCAAACATCAACCAAGTAAATAATCATCAATAATTGAGAAAAAAATACACTAACCATGAATGAGGAGTCGCCGGTGAGAGAGAACTGATTTCGGTGAAAGAGAATCTCCGGTGAGAGAGAGAATCGAACTTAGGGTTTTTTAGGTGAGAGGATCAGAGAATTGGACTGAACGTTGGTGAGAGTGAGAATGAATTGTTTCCTGATTATATACAATATACGTGGTTCCTACTTCCTAGAGTTCCTACACCCATACACCTGAATTAAAACGGTTGTTTTGAATTTTAATTTTTCAAATTTAAAAATTTAAATTTCTTTTTCATTCTTGTTATCCAAAATACTATATTTCGTTCCCATTCTTTACAAAAATATTCTTTTCATATTTTTTCACCAATTTTAAAAAAAAATTTGATTATAATTTTTATTTTAATGATTATTCAGTGTACTTTTTATTATATGACTATATATAATGTTCTTTATAAAAAAAAAAAAAAAAAACTACAGTAGATTAGTGCCCGTGCGATGCACGGTAGTATTAATTTGTTTTCCTATAATTAATTGTTATATAATATAAAAATGAGACAATTCATGTGGAATAAACAAGTGCAATGCAGTACATAGAAAAATAAAATAATAAAGCAAAAATTATTAAAACTACAATTGAGAAAAAAGATTTATTGTTGATTAGTTGTATTGACAATATTTAAAAGTAGTACTCCTACCGTATATATACATTATACTACATTAATTATTCCCAAAAAAAAAAAAACAATAATGCATATTATTCCCAACTATACAATCTAGTGAGTATATGGCTAAAGACTAATTATTTATAAATGTCTTTTAATAAACATGAAAATATATTTTAATATAATAAAACAACAAAATAAAATCTACGTACCGTAAAACTATTAGCACAACATACATATAAATATATAAATTATAAATAATATATCACATTTATATCCAATAGAATAATTTCAATGAAAATAAATACTACTTGAATCATTAAAGGCAATAATAATCAATTATTAGACAACACTAACCTATATTATTAATAGTACATTTTCTGTTTATGAATTGATAATATCGTCGCTCTTTGTAGTTATATAAAAATGTGTTTGAAGCTTTTTTTTTTTTTTTTTTTTTTTTGCCAAGAAAAATTGTAATTTGATACTTGTTTGATTATTGCCTTAAAAATTTATTTGTAGATGATAGATGTTTAAAAAAAAAAAAAAAAAAGATACACAAGATATGTCACTTGTCACTAGAGGTGTCCACCGTGCGAGTCGTGCGAGCTGGGTTAGGGTTAGGTGGGTCGCGGGTTGGGGTTTCATGACACACGGCACGACACACGTAGGGTAGGGTGGGCCGGGTCGTGGGTTGGGTCGGAGAAGTAGGACACACCAGGGTTAGGTTCGTGGGTTAGACGAGTCGTGGGTGGGTCGAGCTGGGTTTGTGGGTTAGACGGATCGTGGGTGGGTCGAGCTGGGTTTGTGGGTTAGACGGGTCATGGGTGGGTCGAGCTAGGTTCGTGGGTTAGACGGGTCAAGGTGGGTTAGTGAGTTAGGGTGGGTCGAAGGGTGGGTTAGTGGGTTAGGGTCGGGTGGGTTTGTGGGTTAGGTGGGTTAGGGTCGGGTGGATTAGTGGGTTAGGGTCGGGTGGGTTTGTGGGTTAGGTGGGTTAGGGTCGGGTGGGTTTGTGGGTTAGGGTCGGGTGGGTTCGTGGGTTAGGGTCGGGTGGGTTGTGTGGTGTTTTAATTTTTACAAAATTAACAATTTGATGGCTTGCTCTTAATTAAGATGCCTACGTATCCTTATATTATAAAATAAGGAATCAAAGCCAGCGTAGTTCTTATATTGTACTTCTTTTGAAATTTGGGGGGGGCTTGGACCTATCTTTAGAAAACTAAAATTTAATTTTGCAATTAAATTGTAATTTTCGAAAAATAAGTTGCCTACGTATCCCGAAAGAATCAAAGCCCACGTAGTTCTTAGCGTACCTGATTTAGACTTTTCTAGCCACCATGTTTGTTGCATCATCATCCCCGGAAGCTGCATCATCCGTTGACGACTCCAATATCATCACAGGATCATCTTCATCGTCTTCGTCTTCCTTTAAACCTTGAGTTCTTCTTTCAGCTTGATCCCAATCTTTCTTACAAACACAAATTTGAATGCTTTCCGGAGTTAAGCGAGATCTTTTTTCATCTAACACTCTTCTACCTGCACTAAAAGCAGACTCGGAAGCAACAGATGAAGCGGGAACTGCAAGTATATCTTTTGCAATTCTCGCCAATATAGGAAAACTTTTTTTATGTTCTTGCCACCATTTTATAATTTGAAAGTTGTTGTTGGTCTCATGTTGATATGACAAATAATCATTAATAGCAAGTGTTGAAGAAGATGATGATGAGAATGATGTAGATGCTTTGTGTTTTTTTTTCATAACTTTATCAAGAAAACCAAATCTAGAATCGGAAGTGCTAGTAGTAGTTGGTGTTGCCAAATCAAAACCATAAATAGATGCATAATGATCATAAAGGTCTCCCAAAACAGATTTGCATTTGTTAATATATTCACTAACATCATAATCGATACTTAAACTTGTATAATAAAATTCTAAAAGATTTTCCAAACCTTCAGCTTTGACACCGGGGTCAAGAATAGCAGCAATTCCATAAATGATTGGAAATTCACTAAAATAAGTATGCCACTTACGTTTCATGCTATCAAGAACGGGACGAAGTCCATCAATCTTCATATGCTCTTCGATGGTGTGAACAACTTTAACTCACTCAATTATGACTAAATGAACGTTAGGCTCATAAATATAAGAGAAAATATGAGTTGCACTATCAAAAGCATTTAAAACATCACGAACAAAAGAAGCATTAGTCCAATGACTTTCGGTTATTAACTCAGTAGGATCAACACGAGTCTCATTGTAAAGTTGGGTCAAAATATCACGATACTTTATAGCATCACTCAACAACTTGAAAGTAGAATTCCAACGGGTAGGGGTATCAATAGACCATTGTCTTTTCTTAAGACCTCTCTCTTTACACATAGCTATGTACTTTCTTCTAACTGACTGAGTAATCCTAATCCATTTTATAACTGTTCTAATTGGGTTTAGCAATGGTTGCAACTCAGCGAGACCCTCTTGAACAGACAAATTCAAAATATGAGCACAACATCTAACATGCAAGAGACTACCACCCAACAACAAATTCAACTCGGAGTCATTTTTCAAATAGTCAATACACTTTGTGTTTGCAGTTGCATTATCAAGAGACAAAGAAAAAACTTTATTATTCAAGTGAAATTCTTTTAAACAATCCAAAATACGAACTTTGATGTTAAAACCGGTATGCCTTTCTTCCATAGCTTGAAAACATAGTATACGTTTTTGAATAAACCAATCATCATCCACCCAATGAGCAGTAATGCAAAGAAAAGGTTCGCCAAAACTAGAAGTCCATGTATCACTTGTAAAACTAACACGACCATCAAAAGTACGAAATAATTCAATCAAACCACTCCTATACTTATAATAAGAAGTTTGTGTATAACGTCTTAGGGTATTTCGGGGGACACGAGTAAATGCAGGTTGTAATGCAACTTTATTAAAATGCTCAACGTTTGCATTTTCACCGTAACTAAAAGGGTATTCATTAGCAATAACTAAAGTACTCATTTCATCAATCATTCTATCTTTATTATAAATGAAAGGTGTACCTCCGCCGGGTTGGTTCATGTATCCACCCAATTGTGTTTGGACGCCACCCCCCGAAGGACGGGGGCCATTTTCGAACAAGTCGTGTTTATTTTGCAAATGCCGACTCAAGGTTCCGGTTCCATCTCCCGTTTTCCAATTATATGACTTGACATTTGCACCTAGCGCCTTGCAAACTAGGCATGTACACGTGAACCTCTTTGGTTGACCAGGTTGCCATCCCGGGGGTGTGACCTCAACTCGTTCAAAATGTTTCCACACCCAAGAAAAATGTGCTCGACCTCTACTTTCACCGCCACCACCTTTCATAAATCAAATTATTAAAATTAATTTTTAAATGCTATTCATGAAAATAAGCTTTTAAATTTTAAATATTTTAATTATACTTATTTAAACGCATTTTTCATGGTAATTAACTAATTGTAAATCATAGAAAATTGGAAACTAAACTAACTTTATAATCATTAATAATAGTTTTTTTAAAGATTCATAACAATAAAAATTTAATTAGAAATTACCTTGAGATGAAGGTTGAGATGTTGGTTGCGATGGAGGTGGCATAGTTGAACTTGATGATTGGTGGGACTCGTGGGAGAAATGTTGTGGTGGAGACGTTTGAATATTTTGCCTATCTCCTAAACCATAATCTCCATATTCATTGACAAATTGGTTTAAATTTTCCGTATTAATTTCATACGAAAAATTTGCACCACCACTCCTTTGGCTACCACTTCGACCACCACTTTGACTCCTTCCCATTCCTCCTCTTGAGCTCATTTTTTTTTGTATGATTACTAATTATAATATGGAGAAGAACTTTTTTTTTTTAGAATCTTAAGAATACTAATAATAATATTAAGGAGATTTTTTTTAACAAAAATATAACTCTATATAACACTTGAGAATTTGAGAACAATAAGAATTTTTAAGTAAGAGAGAAAGAAAGCTTGAATTTGTGTGGAAATTTGAGTGAAATGGAATTGGTATTTATAGGAAAAATAGAATGGATGATCATACACTTAAAAAACTAGCCGTTAGATACAAAAAACTAGCCGTTAGATACAAAAAATTAGCCGTTTTTTTTTTAAAATGGATGTTAGGCCGTGCGGGCCGTGCGGGTCGTGCGAATTGTGCGGGCTGTGCGGGCCGTGCGGGTTGTGCGGGCCGTGCGGGTTGTGCCGGCCGTGCGGGTTGGGTGGGTCATGCGTGCGGGTTGGGTGGGTCATGCGTGCGGGTTAGGTGGGTTGGCTCGTGCGGGTTGGGTGGGTCATTCGTGCGGGTGGGCCGTGCGGGCTGGGTTGTGCCAGGTGGGTCGGGTTAGGTGGGTTCACGGGCTAGGTGTGTCGAATTAAATGAGTCAAAACGGGTTGTGCGATTTGGGTCGAATCAAACGGGTTAAACTGAGCTGGGTTGAAATGGGTTGTGTCAAAAATTTTGGACCCACGACACAACCCGGATTAAATCCGAGCTGTGCCGGGCTGTGCCGGATTGAAACCGGGTCGGACCCACGTGACCCACCAGCCGTGCGAGTTAGGGTGGGCTGGGTCCAACCCGGCCCACTGGCCACCTCTACTTGTCACTATGTTCGACATGTCGTTTACTATGCATCTTATTTATAATGTTGAATACTTGAATGTAATAAATTAATTATCT